AGACAAAGTCTCTCTGTTTCCTATACTGGAGTACGGTGGGGCAATCTTGGCTCACTGCAACCTCCACCTCCCAGCTTCAAGCAATTCTCCTGCCTCAGCCTCCAGAGTAGCTGAGATTACAGGCAACTGCCACCATGCCTAGCTAACGTTTGTATTTTTAGTAGAGACGGGGTTTCACCATGTTGGCCAGACTGGACTTGACTCCTGGCCTCAAGTGATCAACCTGCCTCCGGCTACCAGAGTGCTGGGATTACAGGCATGAGGCTGGGATTACATGCCCCCCTGAGTACTTACTGATTATTTTCAAGGGAATTTACTGTTTGCACTGTTCATTTTGGTGCTAAAACATGTCTTGTCCTGTATTATTACTTAATGTAAGCCTTGTTTCTTTAACAAAGGTAGGGGTAGCTTCTTACAGAGCAATAATTTTCTCTTCGAATTTAAACGTATTATATGCCCAATAAACACATAGTGTATGAATAAATTAATTGATTGGAAATTCTAGAAGTCTGAAATGCCCTTGCACATAAGTAGATGTGTATATGACATTTGATGTTACATTGACATTTTATTTTCTAAGCTGTCAGACAAAAGTGACTTTTAAAGCCATCAATGCTTCTGCAACTGTGGCACTGTACACAGGAACCTTATTGGAAATTAAATGTGTTATCTTGTGCTTCATAGCTGGAATGTTAAGTTTTTAGGAAGTGATCAATTTAAAATGAATTATATGTATGTACATAAACATTAATATGTAAATATATAGAACAATGATTATGTTTACATGGTTATATATATTCCTGATGATTAAGAAAAACAGGATTATGGGCATCTTATCAGACAATGAAAAATTGCATCAAAATCAGAGGATATTTTAATAAAAAATTTATGTCATTTCAGTAATGCTTGTTTACTTGACATAATTTTATAGAAAAACTATGCATAATCCAGTAGTAAACATTTTGTGTGAAAACTTGATGTAAACTTTTGTGAATACATGTGATACATTATTATCTAATATTTTCAGGAAAATAGTAATTTTCTACAAAATGTAAATGTTACTCTTTTGATTCATAGAGTTGAAAAATTTAACCAAACACCATAGAAATTGCCGATACCACTGAACTTCTCTCAGCCACATTCTTTCTTCATCTGGGCATTTCCCAAGTCTTCTGCCATTTCTTCTGTTGGAATCACTCAATCCTCTCTTTTCACCTAGCCAGTTTTTGCTATCCTCGTTTGTGTTCTTCCTTTTTACCCATAGAACCCCTTGTTATTATACCAAACCAGGACCGGGCACTGCTCTTTTTTATTTATTTATTTATTTACTCTAGCTTGACTCTAAGCTCACTCAGGGCAGTTTCTTCTCTGCCTTGTTCACGGTTGTATCCTCAACGCCTTACTCAACACTTTACTCAATGCCCAACACATAATTGGCCCTCAAAAAATATGCTGAATGAATATTATGTCAGTTTTGACTTATGAGCATCAGGTATCGTATCACTTGGTCAGTTTGTAATATTTGCCCAAAAATAGGATTCACTGCAAAATTAGTGCGGATGCAAGCAAATATATTTGACCTTGGTTTCTGGAAAAAAATTCTTAGCTTGTTTGGATAATTATTTGCAGAATTTTCATGAAAGGGAAGTTACAGATGCACAAATGGATAAAGTATTGGACTTTTTTATGTGACTAACTTTATTCTAACTTACTGCATCAAAGACTATAGCAGTCATCTCTCAAGCAGTATTCTGGTCGTCAGAAAATTTTCTTGAACAATGCTATCTTTTAACTGGTTAGCACTCTCCAAAGTATTTCATGTGATTTTTTCACTGTTCATACCCTGGGCGACATGCATTACTTGCCAGGGTTCATCTATTCTTTTAGCTCATCTGGATTACATTGACGATACTTCATGAAGGAGAATTCCACTTTTATTTCAGTAAGCCAGGGCAGGATATTTTGGGCCTCAGAACAACCTGTTTTTTTTTCTTTCTTCTTTTCTTTTCTTCCTTTCTTCTTTTTTTTTTTTTTTTTTTAACATAGGAAGATGGTAAACACTTAATAGGCTACAATTTTCTTTCTTAATCACTGCCATTATGTCTCACATTTAATATAACTTGTTCTATTTCAATGTTAAAACAGGGCATTCTTAATGTTATAACAAGATTAAAAGTACTGTTTGATACTCTCATGATATGTTAACTATTTTACAAAGTCATTTAAAAAATAGTATTGTATTTTCTGAATACCACCCAGGTTTGCAGGCTCAAACCAGGTATCATTAGCAGATATGAAGATGGTGATAATACCACCAGATATCAGTACTGTTTAGGCGAAATCTGTAGTAATTTGCTTTTGAAATAATCAGGTAACACTGTTACTATTTTACAAAAAGTTCAAAAGACTAATGAAAGTGGTTAATTTTAAATAATACTATAGAGTGATACTTTTTCCTGCATGTTATGTTACTTCTTTCACAAACACCCTTTTCTATCCATGTGTAGGCTTACTTCCTGTAGATAGCCGTAAAACATGTAAAGCATTATTCATGCTTTGACTTCTAGAACATATAAAGCATTCATAGATGGGAGATCAGTCAACTAATTCTTATTTGCTTAAACCCAAATTTCTCAAGCTTGTTTAGGTGACTGTAGCCTTGGACTTTGTGGTTCTGTTTGAGAAGCTCCATGGAATAGTGTTAAATTATCATATCATACCAAGAGGGGGCAAATTAGTACAGTAAAATGTGATTGCATTATATCTGTGTGTACCCACAAAACAAAGACTAAATGCCACATGAAATAGTTTTGAGGAATAAGATTTTCAAGTTTTCCTGTTAACATTTGTGTGCTGCCTTTTGTTTGTTCCTTCCTTCCTTTCTTTTTTCTTCTCTTCTCTTCCTTCCTTCCTTCCTTCCTCTCTCTCTCTTTCTTTCTTTCTTCTTTCTTTTTCTTTCTTTCTTCTTTATTTTTCTCTTTCTCTTTCTCTCTCTTTCTCTTTCCCTCCCTCCCTCCTTTCTTCCCTCCCCCCTCTCTCTTTCTTCTTTCTTTCTCTTTCTTTCTTTCTTTCTTTCTTTCTTTCTTTCTTTCTTTCTTT